GTATTTTAAAAAATTATCAAATACTGGCAGATTTTATAAAAATTGAAAAATATAGGAACATAGCAATAACAAAAAAACTAAACCACAGTCTAACCGTTCATTGACAAGCTACTGTTGACAGATTGGTGGTATATGGCAGCGGTTCTCAACCTGTGGGTCGTGACCCTTTCATAACAATGAAAATACATCCCGGCACTGGGAAGGTTGAGAACCACTGGTCTAGGGGACAAAAATTCCCCTTGGCCCTTAGAAGATTCCCCGAAAAATCAGCTCACAAAAGACAGATTAATTGGAGAAAAGGCACACAAATTTATTTCATGCATATACATGGGAGCCTTCAGAATGAAGACCTAATCCCCCATTCAGTGCAGACCATCCTGAGGTTATAGAAATAGTGGGGAGAGTGGGGAAAAGAGAATTCTGTTGAGGGACAAAAATTGACTACCAGGGAGAATTAAATGGGCTTGAAGAACATAGAGTGGTGTGGGGCAAAGTCTGCTGGGCCTATAGATCAGACCGTGGTTTGTGATAAAAGTCTGCCCAGGTTTTTGGACAGGTTCCAGCCTTTCTTTCTGTGATATAGGTTAAGTTAATGAAAACTCAGGGAAGGAACCAAGGATGATAGTTTTCTTCTTTGGTAGGTCCAGAATATAGGCAGATAAGGGAACTTCGGAGAATAGCTTTATTCTATGCTTTGGGAGAGATGATTCGGGTTGTGGGGTATCAAAAAAATACCCTGAAGCTCCTTTTTCAGTTCAGCAAGTACAAAGTGCTGTATTTTAGGTATTAATTTCTAACCCTCAATAGTATATGGAATTCTTTTTCCAAAAATTTTTAAGTATTGATATATACAAGAGCATATATGTAATATGTATTAGTACATGTATAAGCCACCTGAATTAAGAAAGGATTATCACCAGTACTATTGACACTCAGGGTGTTCTGTGCTACAGTAAGTTTTCTTCTTATCCCCACTGGAGATAATCACCACCTTGAAAAATTTAAATCACTTTCTGGCTTTGCATTTTTATTTTTTATTTTTTTTAGAGACAGTTTCACTTTATTGCTCTTAGTAGAATGCTGTGATGTCACAGCTCACAGCAACCTCCAACCCCTGGGCTTAGGCGAGTCTCTTGCCTCAGCCTCCCGAGTAGCTGGGACTACAAGTGCCCACCACAAAGCCCGGCTATTTTTTGTTGTTGTTGTTGGAGTTTGGCCAGGGCCAGGTTTGAACCCACCACTCTCGGTATATGGGGCCAGCGCCATACCCACTGAGACACAGGTGCCGCCCTGGCTTTGCTTTTAAAGAGGAACACAGACATACCAAATAACTTTTATGAATTTTAGTAAAAGTGAACTCACTTGTGACTGTTACCTAGCTGAAGAAATAGAACATTTTTAATCCTTTCTAGCCTCCCGAATGCCCCCTCCAGGTTAATACACTCTCCCAAAGGTAACTGCTATGCTGACTTTGAGCTTTTTAACAAGAGGACTCATACGATGTATGCTCTTCTGTGTTTTGTTTTATGTTATAAGGCCATGTCCTCAGCTGCTCACATGTTTAGAGTTGTTGTATTTCCTCTATGATTGACCAATTTATTATTGTGTGTGTTATGTCTCTCTTTCGTAATGTTTCTAACGTATCCATATCAGCTTTCTTTTGTTGAATTTTGGTGTATCTTTTCTATTCTTTTATTTCTGGACATTCTGTGGACTTTTAAGGCATGTATCTCGTAGATGGTGTATAGCTGAGTTTTAGTTTTTTGTCAAGTTTGATAAAGACTGTCTTGTTATTGGAATGTTTAGTCTATTATTAATGTAGTTATATATTTGTATTTGCTTTTTTAATTTTTTTTTTTTTTCTTAGAGACTTGGTCTTGTTATGTTGCCTGTCTGGCCTCAATTCCTGGGCTTATGCGAGCTCCTGCCTCAGCCTTCTGAGTAGCTGGAACTGTAGGCTGTATTTGTGTTTCAGTCTACAGTTTTAGTATATTCTCTTGCCTTAGTATTTGTTCTTTTTCCTTTGCTTTCTTGCCTGTTTTAGATTAATGTGTTATTTTTCTAGTCTATTTTTGTTCTCTATAGCCTTGTTAATAATTACACGTTCTTCTGTTATTCTCCTAGTGGTTATCTTAGAAGTTACAGCATACATATTTGGCTTGCTAGAATGATAGTTTTCTTTCTGGACAGTGTGAATACTTCAGACACTGAGTGTTTATGTGCCATTGTCCTGTGTTCACCATTTCTATTGTTCTTTTCTGAGTCTCCAGTGTTATCTTTGAGGTTATTTTCTTTCTACTTGAAGAATTCTGCTCAGTATTACTTTTACTGAGGCTCTGCCAATATTAGATTCTCTGAGTTTTTTGTCTCTTTGAAAAATGCCTATATTTTGCCATTTTAAAGTTGATGTCTTTGCTGGTTATAGAAGTCTAAGTTGTTAGGACTTCCCCTCCCCCAAAGATACTCTGGTTCCCTAGTTTTTGTTTTAAAATCAACTGTTAGGATTATTAGGGATTTTTAGAAGGTAATGTGTCTTTTTAGTCTTTTACTCCCCTCTTGCTGCTTTAAGCCATTGGGTTTTTTTCTTTTTTTAAAGACAAGGTCTTGCTCTGTTGCCTCATCTAGAGTGCCATAAGGTTATCATACCTCACTGCAACCTTATGGTCCTAGGCTGAAGTGATCCTCCTGTCTCAGCCTCCCAAGTAGCTGGGACTAGACGTATATACCACCACACCCAGCTGATTTTTCTTTTTTTTCCCAGTAGAGATGGGGGCCTCTCTTTGGCTTAAGCTATTCTTGAACTCCTGGGCTCAAGTGATCTTCCTGCTTTGGGCTCCCAAAGTGCTAAGATAATAGGTGTGAGCCACTGTGCCTGGAATTAAGTCATTGGTTTTTAGCAGTTTTTCCATAATGTGTCTGCGTGTGTGTAATATTTATCTGGCTTGGGATTTGTAGAGTTTCTTGAATCTGTGGCTTGATGTCTTCTGTCAGATTTGAAATGTTCTTGACCATTTTCTCAAGATAATGTTTCTACCCCACTTTCTTGCCTTTTTTGTGACTCTACTTGGAGACTTTTTCACTATGTCTCAGGTCTCTTGTATTTTTTCCCGTATTTCTCTTTATGTACTTCACGCTTAAATTAGATCATTTCCAGCTCTCTATTCTGCTGTGTGTTCAGTCTATTGGTAAGCCTATAGAGTTTTTTATTTTAGTTTTTTTAAAGTTGTAGAATTTGCATTTGTTTATTATGTCACCCAGGCTTAACCTGTCACCCAGGTTCACATTTATAGCTCACTGCAGCCTTATGCTTTTGGATTCAAGCAATCCTCCTGCCTCAGCTTCCTGAGTAGCTGTGACTGTAGGCATGTGCCACCACAGATAGCTAAATTTTTTTTTTTTGTAGAGATAAGGATCTCACTATGTTTTTTTTTTTTAATTAAATCATTATTTTGTACCTTGATGCATTTATGGGGTTTGGTGTACTGATTTGACATACAATGTGAAATGTTTACATTGAATTAAGTTAACACATCTATTACAATTATAATCTACTCTTAATAGTTTTGAAATGTACCATTGCATCACGCACATTAGGTGGGGTCTCCCCAAATACCTTCCCTTCTCCCCCCTTCCCTTCTGCTTTCTGGACTGTAGTTATGTTTTACCATTCATATGAGTGTGTAGGTGATTAAATATTGATTTCATAGTAGTATTGAGTACATTGGATACTTTTTTTTCCATTCTTGAGATGCTTTACTAAGAAGAATATGTTCCAGCTCTGTCCACGTAAATGTAAAAGATGTGAAGTCTCCATCTTTTTATGGCTGCATAGTATTCCATTGTGTACCTATACCACAATTTGTTAATCCATTCATGGGTCGATGGGCACTTGAACTGTTTCCATATCTTGGCAATTATGAATCGGGCTACAATAAACATTCTGGTGCAAATGTCTTTGTTGTAAAATCATTTTGATCATCTGGGTATATACATGGTAGAGGAATTGCAGGATCAAAAGGTAGGTCTACTTTTAGTTCCTTGAGTATTTTCCAAACTTCTCTCCAAAAAGTTTGTATTAGCTTGCATTCCCACCAGCAGTGTAGAAGTGTTCCCTTCTCTCGGCATCCACGCTCACTATGTTGTTCAGGCTGCTTGCAAATGCTCTAAGTGGTCCTCCTACCATGGCCTCCTAAGGTGTTGGGATTACAGGCATGAACCACTGCATCCATCCAGAAATCATAGTCCGTCTCACTCTTGATAGTTTCCAGGTGTCACCTTTTATTTCTTTGAACATGTTAATCTTAGATAATATAAAGGTTGAGCCTGATAACTCCAGTGTTGAAATTACCTACAAGTGAAGTTCTGTTTTCTGTTTTTTAACCTTTGGTATTTGGTTCTGTCTTTTGGCATGCTTGTTATTTTTTTAGTTGATTGCTGGACATCATATGTAAAAACTGATTAAGCTCTGGATGGTATTTTTTTTCCAAATAGGTTTACTTTTCTATTGGTAGGTAGTTAATGTGGGGACAGATAATCCAGTTGAGAATTGATGTGATTAGGGCTGAGTTTCAGTTGTGTGTTAGTTTTTTTTTGTTTTTTTTTTTGCCTCTCTCACTCTAGGTTCTTAAGACATGGTCCCTTGTAGATCTTGACTTAAAGCCCGGGCTGTTTGCCAGGCTGCCACTTTTTTGTAAGGACCTGAACTCCGGTCTTTACCTCCCTTGCACAGGAAAACTGTCAGA